TCCCTTTTGTCAGTTATAACATCACCGTTAATAGATGAACTTGATACTGGACTTTTTTTTGGTGAAAGATATTGCCAAAACCTATTTGGTGATGTCAAGAGAAAGTTTGGCAAAGCCTAGCTTTCATATTTTTTCTTTGCACTTTTCAATTTCGCTTTCAGTATGTGACGCATCTGATATATTATCTAGTCCAGACAATGATTGTCGTTCTATTTGTTGCTTTCTTGCCTTCTTTAGCTTGCGCCCTAGGCGTACGATTTCTTTCGTAATCCAGGGGCTAGACCGGCTTAATACCTTGCGTTTGTGAGGAACAATGTTTTGGATACATTTAATTACTAGTTCTTTGAAAAAGCACCACAATCGGTCAACAGAACATTCACTTTCTTTGGCTTTCTAAATAACTTTACATTGAAATTATTAGCAGTCGGCACGGGATTTTTTAAGAGTTCGAGCCAAGCCTGGGCTTTTAGGTCGGCCCGAGAACGTGCAGTGCTCGATTAGGGTGTACAGAACAACACATAAGCTCTGGGCCCCTACAGGATCATCAGATCTACAGTGTACAGAGAGGCATACAGGAGTAGCGGAAAAAAAGAAGCCATACAAAAGTGACAAGGCATAACAGTCAAGCACAAAAATTTTCAACTATGTTTGTGGCACTAGCTGCAGACTGCTGTCTAAGGTGTCGAGTGTGTTGGTGTCATTGTCATAGCCGGACTAAGCACATTTTGTCACTTAGTTGCATAGGAGTAGCAGTAGTACAGTAAAAGCTCGTTTATCCGGACCTCGTTAACTCAGAAATTCGATTAACTCGGACTCGCGGCACGGTCCCGGCAAAACTGTGTATATTTCAATGAGGTCAAATGCTCATTAATTCGGAGGGATTAAGCCACGCACCGGTTATCTCGGACAACTCCAGAGAGGGCTATCGGGACTCCAGAGTCGCGCGATCTCGGCGGCTGGGAGGCTCAAGCACCGCTCGCTGTAACCGACGGCAGAAACGGAGTTTTGGAGAAACCGAAACTGAGCGAACTGTAGCAGAATATGACGATGATGATAGTGAATGAAGGGGAAGTGGCTAGGTGGCGCTAGTCACCACCCGGCTGAAGTGCTTGGGCCACCGGCGCATCCAGTTTCTACTAACAGCTGCTCGCTACGCCCATGCTATGCCTACTGGTGTACTATCGTGTCTTGGTTCTTTGTGTTGTGACTTCGTGTGTTGCGGCTGTGTTTGTGCGCGTTGTCACCGCCGTCGCGCTTCATGGCGACCGTCACAGGAGTTAAGCGGCCACAGCAGCCAGCAAATGATCTTAAAAGAAAGGTTATGATATTGAAAAACGTGATGAGCCGACGCGACTTCGTTGCAACGAAGTCGCCGAAGCCCTCGCCGCCCGCCGAAGGAGGCCGCTGAAGCCCTCGCTGTCCTCGAGGAATTCTGCGTTTGTTCTCGCGACAGTGAACGTGCCCACCACCACCTGATGGGATTAAATAAGATTGTTCTGTCAGAAATTTCGATGGCGAGGCAGGCAAAAATAGCGCGCTTTTTTAAGAAATAAAGGTTTGTCTGTGCCGTGTACGTTTTTCTTTTGTTTTCATGGTCCGTTCGATAATTCGGAATTCGGTTAACTCGGACATTTTCTCCGGTCCCGTGAGATCCGAGTTAATGAGCTTTTACTGTAGTAGTACAGTCAAACACAGATATATTGAACTTGAAGGGAATCGCGAATTAGTTCAGTATAAGTAAAATTCAATATAAAAAAATAAAGGCCCTGAGAGCTTACCTGTAGCGGATCATCATTTACAATAGGTACATTCAAGAATAACAATTACAGTAGACTCTCAGTAAGCGGAAATTTGTCAAACGGATTTACTACTTAAACGAAACTATTGCCTCTGCAATGCTTGGTTTCAGCCTTGTATTCTGCCCCCATGTCCACCTCTCAGTAAACGGAACTCCTGTTAAATGAAACATATTTTCCCGGTCCCTTCAGGTTCCCTTTACTGAGAGTCTACTGCTGCAACAGGATGATTTATTTGCGTGAAAAAAAAAAATCGTTAAGCTTGGCCTGCTTCTTCGTTTTTAAATGTTGAAGAAGACCCTAGTCTCGATTATATCAAGGCTGTTCAGGTGCGACAGCCCGGTTACTTCCATGCGGCCGATACAACGGCGAATGATGCCGAACGCTGCCGCCACAATTCAGCGGCAAAGTACGCGGGTGTAGCCAGTGCCTCGTCTGGACAATCCTGCTCGTCATATAAGCTGTCGGCCTGGACATTATAGTCTGCTTCCACGAAGTCGTCCGCAGACACTTAGCAGGGAACTGCTGCCTAGAAGCGGGACAACAACTCGCGAAACGCATCATCTATGCGCTCGTCATCGCCGTCTTCACCGCTTTCTGCAAATTCCGGGGTTTTGAAGCCTGCCTTGCAGAAGCAGTTGACCACTCTGTTCGTCTTCATCACTCACCAGGCATTGAAGATCTCGGGAGAAATTGTCGCGAAAATTTCTGGCCACTCCTTCATCATTCATTGCTGCATGTCCTGGCTGCCGACAGCTTTGCTTTTGCCAGCATTGGTTTTTCCAACGATATTGTAGCATTGCTTAAATTGGTGAAGCCACCTGGTGTTGTCGGCGAAGTTGTTCCACCAAGTTCACCAGCAAAACATTTGGCCTTGGTGATCAGTATCGGCCCATCCACCGGAATGTTCTTCGCGCGCACTTCTAAAAACCAGGAATAGAGTGACTTTTCTACATTCCCGTGGGCAGATGCGTGTACATGACAGGCTCCCTACATTTGCTGCTCCGCCACCTTTGTCTTGATATCTGCCTTATTTTACAACAAAGCACTCAGAGTGCTCCGTGGTATCCCGAAGTTGTCCACGACGGTCGAACATTTCTCGCCCGCCTCGACACGCTGAATACCCTTCAACTTTGTCGCAAAGTCAAGGGTCTCGTGCTTCTTGACGCTAGCCATAGCTACACGAGAAGTCGACAATTCAAGGAATCGGCAGCGGCTTTGCACACCACGCACGTGAAAGAAAAATGCTGCACATGCGGTGGTACGTAGGCGACGCGCGTAAGGAAGCAACACAGCGCTGGCGAGGCAATGGCCACTAGAGCAACAGCAAACGGCGCGAGCTGTGGTTAGCTGATTAGAACTAAAAAAACAGCAACAAAAAAGTGGAAAAAAAAGGTGAAAGGAGGAGGACGTCGGCTCCTTCGTTCCTGCTGACGGGTACGCGAAGAAAGCATGAGAGAGAGAAAGAGAAACGAAAGAAAGCGTTCCGCATGTTAGAGATTGTGCACTCTGAGCCCTCTCGCCCACACCTTTTTTTGAGTGTTTCAGGTTTTGGCAGAGGCGTGGTACTGCGCAAAGGTTGCTGGGCGCTGCTGCGAGTGCGCCTTCCCACTCGTGCGCAGAGCTGCGCTGCCACGGACATCGCGGCGGGGGGTTCCTTTTAGCTCGCGCGGCGTTCGATATATTTGAAGGCGGGTAAAAATACCGTTCGATATAAGCGTGCAAATTTCTATACTTTTACAAAGGAACTTCAAGGGGATATTTTGCGAGTTCGATATACCCGAAAATTCGATATATGTAAGTATGATATAATGGTGTTCGAGGGTATTAGTAGTATCTTTATTCCATTTCTTCAAATACGAGGGAAAGGAAACTAGGCAAAAGGCATTTCATATGCCTGACAAAGGCCCCTGCACCTGTAGTTCGTCACAGATACACATTTCTTGTGTATTAAAAAACTACACAACTTTTTCACGTATCATGTAACATGTGCTTCATGTACAACAAATCGTGTATGCACCACATAGGTTTGTATAAAACTTGTGTGCATTGCATCTGTTTTCTATAAAGTGCTACTTGAGATGTGTCATTTTCACCAGGAAAGTGCACAACAAAGCAAAGGTGTTTCATACGCTTCATATAGTTGTGTTATGTACTATATATTGTGTGTGTGCCTGAGGTTTCTAACCATGAGTAGCTTAAAGTGAGATCTTCAGCTGGACATTGATCGGGAGAAGTTTCTACTGGCTGAGAAGGGGTATTCATCCGGACCTTCAGAAGTGGCTGTGTGTGTATGTGTGCCACTTTTCATTCTTGTTTTTTCAGCGCAATTAGTTTTCCTCGAAAATTGATTGGCTGCGGGTCTAAACTGCTGTATTCGCTGAAAGATTGGACTTTCTCAAGCAGCTCAGTATGTGTGATTTTAGTGGTGTGCGACTGAGGCCTACAAAAGTGATTGTTGACACAGCAGAGCTTGTTACTCAAGAGAACAAATTGTGAGGGAATTAAACTTAACATTTTTTAAAGACAAGTTGGGCTTGTGTACCCCCCTCCCCCCCCCCTTTTTTTTTGTCGTCAATGTTGAGATATTTCACAATTTAACTCTAACGTTACATGCATGGGCATTTTTATTTTGATCCCATAAAATTGGGTGGTCTTTTGGTTCATGTAAGGATACTATTTGAAGGCAGGTTTTCTCAAGTTTACTCATTTTTTCTTCATGCAAGTCTAGTTAATTGTTTTGAAGCGACCTATTTGGATGCACTTGAGAGGTGTGTTTTTTTGGAGGGGGAACAGGGAAAGAGAAGAACGCAGTTCTGATAAGCTTAGCTACTTATGAAATAGAACAGATTTTGACAGTCTTTTTGAGCTGATTTTAATGGAAATCTATAGTAGCGATTTTTTTAGTTTTATGTGCGGAACAACGGTATTATTTTTAGGCTGGGGTGCCTCTGTGGGCACACAAATCTAAATACGCGGGTGTTCTTGCATTTAGTCCTAATGAATATGCGGCCACAATGGCCAGGCATTGAAATCCCTTTTCTGAAGCTGCAGTATGGCGCTTTACTTGCCAAGCTACAACACCGATGGGGATGTAATCAATGCATGAATATTCTACTTTACTATACTAAAGAACAACAGTATCGAATTTGCAGAAGTCATTGAAAGCTTTTGAACAGTACGAGTAATGTTATTGTCGTGCAGGTGATGACCCTAGCGAGGACTGGACATTAAGGCACGGTTGTAGTGTAACACTCTCGGTGGCACTCAAGCAAGCTCCCGAGCGCATCCTCACAGATGACTGGAGAGACCGAGTGGTCAAGACCCTGATCAAGTACATGACTGCCGACCGAGTAAGTCTCCGGAGTGTGTTGATTCGGGTTAGTCCTGCGGGAACTGAGGAATTCGAAGCAAAATGTTTTGAGCCAAAGTCGTTGACTTTGTTAGGAAATCATTCAAAGCTAAGTTTGCTTTGGAGCAGCACTAGTGTGCGAGCTCTGTGATTACAATTGCTGCTGTATCAGTACAGACACGCTTCTACCGAAAACTCTGTCTAAGCAGAGCGAGTTGTTACTGTCTTAGGTCGATGGAATCAGTCTTCCTTAGGGTGACTAATGGGTGAGATTGAATCACTATGTGTTCAAGTTCGATTAGTCAAAATTGATACTGCGTTGGTGTGAACCAAAATGTGTTTTGCACTGTTGTTAAGCTGAAAACCATGAACAAGTTTGTATGTTTTCTTCACTGAAGAAAGGCAGGGTGTGAGCCCTGCGAGTGCATTTTCAGCATCTACTGAAATGTGTGAAGAGCGGCAAGCATAAGAAATGGTACTGTGCACGCCATACAGTCATCACTGCTGATAGGCGCACAGCACTCAGATCTGGCAGTGTTGCACATGTCTGTGGGGATGATTGGACGGCGCGTGCTATACCATTGTTAATGCTTTCTTCTGTTAGCTCGTCATTTCATGCTGATTGTACAATTTCTCGCTGAGGCCGATGTTTTTCTGATGCACACTACTTGAAAACTCTGGGATTAAGATGTCCCTCTATAGGAAAAGACAAAAACTAATCTGGCCCGTTGGGCTATAGCATGCACCATTGATGAAGCTTAGCACAGGTAGAGTAAGGTCATATTCAAAGAAAATCACTTTTGAGCACACTTCAGCTCGGCATTTGACCCTCTGATGCTGTACCATCGATGCCAGTGATAAAAGTGCTGCTCCAATTGCTCTAAACTGCTCCAAAAGGGAAATGCTGCTCCAAAGTGCAATAATTGCTCGTAACTGCTCTGAACCTGCTCCAACATGGGTGTTGGCAAACTAAAAAGAATGAAGTTGAACAATGGGACCATCCCGTGAGCCTAAGCAGAACCAAAAGCAAGTTGTATACACACTATCATCCTAGTATGCAACTCAGTGGCGTTAATCCAGAAAAATCACGAGAGGTGACGCATACTAGGCAATGGTGGCCAATTCATATTTTTGTTATGTGTTGTGTTTTTATTTATATAAGAATTCAATCATGCTTTCAAATAGAATTAAAAAAAAAAAACCAAGCATGGGGCCCGAGCTCAAGCGATTGTATTGTTCTATTCAGTCTCTTTTTTTTCACCTCTTTGCGATTTTCATAGTTCACACAGCTGAGGGCCATTTACGGGGAGATGCGAGTCGAAAAATCGCGTTTTTAGCGAAATTTCTCGTATTTCTGATTTTTATTGCATTGTAATCTTCAAACCTTCTTCTTTCATCTGTGAAAATTTCAAAACTAAATTCGAACCGCAATATGCAAAAAAAATGTGTATGAAGGCATCGCGGTGGCTCAAAATTTCGTGAATTTGCGCCGATATTGGCCATCTTTGACTGCGCACTGCTCCCCGTCGCAGTGCCGCCCGCCATCGCGATCGGTTGGGAAAGTTACGTCCGGCCTTCTTCTTACAGCTCCGACGACCGCCAGTTTCGTACGTGGGCAAAAAAAAAAAAAATAAAGAACGAGGCCTTTTTATCACGTGGTTTGAGCGGTTTGAAACGCGCGGCACCCTAAGCCGCATCGCCATTGGCTACCCAGTCATTGTCAGCTGTGTTGTTGGCGGCCATCGGCATTTGGTCCGTCTGCTTTTCTGCGCGTCTACGCATATTTCCGCGATGACAAGCCCGAAAAAGTGCAACGTGAGACCGCAGAAGTTTCGAACGAAGCACAAGTTCAAGGGAAGGCGGCGTAAAGCGCCCCGAACGACGGCGACGAACGAGAACGCGCCTATGTGTGCTAGGCCTGACGGCGGCATCGACGAGTGCGCGAGCGACAGTGGCTGCGATGAAGGGATTGACGCTGCGCTTTCTTTCGTCAGTGCTTCGGAAAAAAAGCTCGGCTTCTTCGAGAAAGACGAAAGACAGCGCGATGAGGTTTGTGCAACGACAGTTTTGTGCGACACCCTCTTGCTGACGGCACTTGTGGCAGGTGCGGCATGCCCTGCTTGCGGTATTCAAAAACTTGCCGTTCGGGAGCCGGCAGAAAAGCGCAAGGGACTTTCGTCGCTCCTCGAACTTAATTGCGAAAACAGCGAAAGCTCAGCGACTGTTCTTTCGTGCTCCTATACGTCACTGCGTGTTATGGCGGACGGCAGCAGCCGAGTGAGCCAACGGCACGACAGTGGGAGCTCCCGAGATAGTTTCGCTGTAAATGTGAAGGCGGTGGTGGCTGCACGCGCTGTCGGCATTGGGCATGAGCAATTGTCGAGATTTTGCTCCATTATTGGACTCCCAAAGCCAATGCACCACCGAGGATTTTTTTCGATAGCAAAGAAGGTGCACACCGCTGCCATGGCAGCTGTGAGTGAAAACTTGCGCCGATCCAGAGTTGACGAAAGAAGTAGCAGGCGAAACTGATGTGGCTGTTATTTTCGACGGCACTTGGCAGAAGAGGGGCCACAAAAGCCACAACCGAATTGGCGCAGTTATCTCCTTAGATACTGGCCTCTGCTTAGACTTCGAGGTCATATCAAATTACTGCCTGACATGCAGTAGGCACAAGGATATGGGCCCAGACGAGGAAGTGTGGCAGGCATTCCATGGCCCAGTCTGTGAAAATAATGCAGACTGTTCCTGCCATGCCATAGAAACGGAGGCTGCAATGCGCATTTGGCAGAGAACATTGACTTATGACACCCCACTGCATTTCATGACATTCTTGAGTGACGGTGACAGCAAAGCATATAGTGCAGTTGCAGAGTCAAAAGTCTATGGTGCTGTCAATATAGAAAAAGAAGACTGCACTAATCATGTGGCCAAGAGACTTGGCACCGCGCTACGGAAGCTGCATGTGCCATTACCACGAGGGCAGAAAATGAAAGAGCCAGCCATTCAGAAGCTCCAAACATACTATCAGATTGCCATAACAAGCAACAGGGGGAGTGTACGGGATATGTACACTGCAGTATGGGCTTCGTACTTCCACTCATGCTCTACTGACAATGCTGGCAGCCACAAGTTTTGCCCTGCAGGAACAGAGTCGTGGTGCAAACATCAACGCGCTGAAGCACTTGGTGAACCTGCACCACGCCACACACCTCTCCTGACAAAAGCACTGGGATTGGCTGTTTTGCCCATTTATAAGCGGCTAACGGATGAGAAACTCCTTGCTCGATGCATCAAAGGGAAAACCCAGAACGCATCGGAATCCCTGAACAGCAAAATTTGGCTACTTTGCCCCAAGACTAAGTTTGTCTCCGGAACGGTTGTCGAGACTGCCGCAGCTATGGCAATCCTGTGTTTCAACAAAAGTCATGCTACTTTCGAGCACATCCTGGAAGAGCTCAACATACTGCCATCTAGAGATCTAGTTACTTTCAGTGATTCCCGCGATGCGAGGCGCATCAAGAGAATGTCCGAGCGTCTGACAGCAGAAGCAAGGGCCCACCGTCGTCGTGGAGTGAAAAGGGCACGGCTAGAAGAGAGTGCTCGCAAGGACTGTGAGGGCACAACCTATGCTGCAGGACAGTTCTAGTAACTTGCAGTGCATTTCAAAGTTCTGTTGAACATTATGGCCAAAGATTATGCATTTCTAACAACTCTGTGATAAAAAAAAAGGTTTCAGACTTTCAAATGCGTTTTTCTCCTTTTGCAGTTTTGTGTGATCTGTGCTTCTTATACACGCTAGTTCGTATACTTAGAATTGTCATACCTCTATGAAATTTTGCACATAGCATGATGAAGGCCCATAGAGTGCAAGTATCTATTCAGATTGTCAGTGCTGCTTGATTATGTTTTTCAAAAATTACATAACATTGAAAGCCCTTGGCAACTAGAGCCATAGTAAATTTTTCTATTTTATTATTGTATTTCACCTTTTTACACACAAAATTTATATAGTTTTTTGCACTCTGCAGTTCCAAAGGATCAAAGTCAGCTATATCTGCATGCTTTATCTCAAATTTTTATAGGTCAGAATTGTTGCATAACATTGGCCATAATTTTGCAGTATCTGACCTGCAGAAAGAAAACCAAGCAATCTACATGAAAATAAATGACATATTTGAAAAGAGGAGAAAAAACTCTATTAGCATGCCAATTTGCGTTAAATTCAGACTCTTATTAAAGAAAATCGTTTTTCGAGTAGCATCTCCCCTTACCACAGGTATGCAGCAACAGATAAAATAGCCTTGTAAAATGATGATTGCACTATACATAACTGCTAGCTCAATTATATTATATGCTCAACCTAAATTTCAAGGGGCGCATTTGCTAGGGCTGTCCTCCCCAGCCTGAACACAGAAAATTCCAGACTCCTTTGACCCTCCCCCGCCAACATGATTTACACCAATGATGCTACTATACGGCTTGTATACTGGCCGCATACTATCATATGGAATGCTTAATAACAAACCTAAATATTTATTAGATGCTTAAGTGATGTTTTAGACTGCAGGAATCATTAGGAACATGCGTTTGCTCTGAAAACTTCAATGGCAACCCTAAGCTATAGCATTTTTTTTTCTGCTTCGAAGACACTTAAGCCTGCTCCAAAGCACCATTTTTTTCTGCTCTAGAACCTGCTCTAAAAAGCAAAATGTCGCTTCCATCAGCGCAGTGCTGAAATAGCAGGGCAGAATCGTTATTGGTTGCAAAGACCTGCACATCCAACGCTAAGCTTGTCGAAATGAAAATATTACCAAAAGTTATCGCTTGGGAGTATCTCATCGGCTAAGTTATCCAACATTCTCACGTGCCATAAAGGGCGAGATTGCTTTATGTGTGTGTGTGTGCTCAGGGAATGATTGGCAAAATTTTTATCACAGACCACAGTTGTTGACAAAAAACTAGCTTGTGAATACAACATAAACATTAACTGGTGTTTTTTAGCTATGTAGCTGATTTGGTAATGTATTTTAGAAAAATTAAATCTCCAAATTTGCTAAAATTCTTGTTTGCAACTATCTAGCCAACACTGTTGTGATGAACCCAGTTGCCGAAATCCAAACTCGCAGCTAAAGGTGTTCTCATCTGTTTATGCATGCCTCAAGATGAATCCCAGAATAATTGCTCACTTAAACTCAAAATTTGCAAAATTGTTCACATTATGTGTGTAATCTGAATAGCCAAAGCTCTCTCTGCAAAGGATTGGTTGGAAAATCCAGGACTTTTCAGATTTTGGATCACGTGACAACTGGATAACAGCTACAACCTTTGGAACTACGACCACTCTCAAAAGACATAACAATGTGAATGTTTCAGTACATAGAATTCTCCTTGTATAGAATTCTCCTTGTATAGAATTCTCCTTGTCTCCTTGTATGCAGGTTCCCATTGTGATTGGTGGGGTACGTGGAAGTGGCCACTGTTTACGTCACATGCTGGTTACCAAATGTGAAGAGCTGCCCCAAGTACTATTAACAACATTTGCCAAGGTAGGTGGAGCCACAGACAGGGTCATGACCATGTGATGTCATTTATTATGCTTGTTGAACCTTCTGATGTTAAAGCTCAGTAATAACAGAATAGATAGATATAACCAGAATTCCATATTGAAAATGTGATTAAAGTAGGCCCATAAACAAAGGAAGTGGTGTAAGAGCCAGAAGTGTGTGAATTGAGAAACACTCAATTCAGACATTAATTGAGAGTTCAAATACATTGATATAATAATGTCACACCACTATATTGCAGGATTACAGAGTAGAGCTTATCAAAGTGTATTGCTACATTTCACAGGTATTTTACGCAAGCCACATTACATGTCCTCTTGATGATTGCAGGATCGCAGCTTAAACTTGTTGTACAAATCTATAAAATCGATTCGAGTCCTTGTAGCATGACAATTAATCAAATATTCCATAATAATGGAAGATTGCGGGGCCTATTTTTTCGTCAGCAAGTAAATAGCAACCAGCTGCAATGCTCTCCAGTTTTTTCAATAAAGACATTGCAGAGAAAGTGAAAAGGCAGGCACAGCATACTGTATGAGTGTGGAATCCTGCTATTAGTGAATTAAGGGGAGAGGCTACACTTGATGGGAAACTTTTTTATTTATGTATAGATGTGAACGAAATTTTCACAGTTTGTGTATTTACATATGCAGTTTCTAAAAAATGTAATTACTTTTTGATAAATCAAGTAGTTTCCAAGACACTCCACAATCAGTGTAAAACCTGGGTTCTTTGTTTGCAGCCTAATTAGCATCTAAGCAGAAAGCACCAAAGCATTGGCGACAGTGTAGAAACATTTTAGGGTGTTTAAGGAGTGCAATATGCTATAAATCAATTTGCTGGCCCAATTTCAACAGGAGTTAGAGTACATCAATGTTCAGAGAAAAACGAGCCAACTTCACCTGTCATGCATGTGACTCAATTAATAAGTTTTTATCTGTATTTTGCCTTCAAAATAGGCATATAGCATGCTGCAGGCATTTATCTTTGTGGAAAAAAAAAAAGAAATATGCTGATAGCTTTGAATAGAACAGAAGTTATTTTCCCTCCAACTTGGCAAATGTGCCGAAATTGATGTTTTGAGAAAATGAGGAAAAACCTTTCAAAATACCTTTATTCAAAAAATACTATTTAAATCTTATGAAAAGGCACCAGGGGCATAATCTTAATGCATCCCATCCCTATGCTTCTTCTTGACCAGCTTTCTCAGACTTTGGGACGCATCTCAATTTATTTTAGGTTGCACTCTGATGACAGTCTTTCTCCCTAGCCCTCAGGGATGTGCTGCTGGATATCGTGATGTCCAGCTGCTCTAGAATTGCAGCAAATGCATTGACATTGCCAATGTCAGCTTCTGCAGCAGCATCTTGCGCAGCAAAAAGAGAAGCGTGCTGCTCCTTTGACAGGAAACTCCAAAGCACGGATTGGAGGCTTCAGTGAGAATTCTGAGTCTTGCCTTGCTGTCACCTTGTCTCGCTGCCACACCACTTGACTCGGAAAAGTGCTCAATTTTTCGCGCTGTTGCCGACACTGACGAAAGGCCCTCAAGCGTCGTGGTTGTTTCGCGGGTGTTCACGTCGTGAACTTCACTGGCATCGATAACATCGGCATCTATCCGCACGCGGTCGGAGTCGACATAGCGCGCACTGTCAGGGAAGCCCGTGTCTACGCGCACTTTACCGTTGCCGATAGCATCGGCGCGATCATGATTCACAGAGTGTCCGCTATCTGGGGAAACCGTCTTGCACGCTCCTCCATTGATAACATCTCCAGTACACGGGCGGCCAGCAGCCACACCGCGCACGCAAAAGGAACCATCTTTGGTTACGATGGCATTATCAAACAACGTCGGCGCTTGCTCCCGCGACACAATAGCAGCACCATTGGGTTTTCTGCCTTTCTTGCGTGAACGGCGAAAATCATGCTGCGATCGGAACTTTTTTGCATCGTCGGGCATACCCAGTCACAAAAGCACGTTAGGGATACGAGTCACGACACTGTCGCAAATGCAATACCCTTTCAAAATGGCGGAGGACACTGCCAGCGAGTTTTTCTGGCTAATCGGGAAGCGCCATTTCGGTCACGTGCATCAAGCAACCAATGGAATCGCGTGCTGTGCGTGATTTTGACTTCGTTTTTTTTTCCGCTTTTGCAAAGGGCACATAGTTGTCTACTGGAAAAAAAAATTCTATAAACGTGACTTTTCCAACAAGACCATAATGGCGCTGGTGGAGCACGTAGCTCGCGTGCCGTCGGCGGTTGAAGTACGGTTAGATTACACTTCAATATAAAGGTCCGCTTGAACGAGGTTGCTCTCTTTATGGGTTTTAACTTCTGAAATAAGTGGAATTTCGAAGCCAAACTTAGCTGATAGGTGGGGAAGGGCATCAGGAACGCGGAAATCCGATTTTTTGCCCGATTTTCTACTTCTTGGGTCCCCCCTTAAGCTGGGTCGAGAAAAGCAAAACATGTTCCAGTGACCACAGTCATAGAAATCTGAACTCTGCTGTAAATGTAAAAAAGCATCGACAATGTGCGCATAGTCTGATATGACAATTTTTTTTGACTATGATAGTGGTGATGGCAGCTAGCCAAATTTTATACGAGCTAAAAATTTGTTTTAGGGGCGTGGTTGTCTAGCCTTTCCTCCCATTTCGTCATTAGCATCTAGTGGGCATCAGTTGCTATTAATACGAAATCCATGCTAACAATTTCAATAATCTCTTCTTGCCACTTTTAGAGCTGGCATGCTTGCCCGTCAGCCGGATGTGCGCACGTGCTGTAAGGCAAAATTTTTTCCCATTTCTTATTCTGGTCTCATAACTAAGGGGTGGGGTTTATTTCTCCCCCTTGAAAAATTTCTGACGATGTCCTTGGTACGCATCATATGTTATCTGTTTTTGATAGTACAGTCAAGCCCGCTTATAGCTAACCTGAGCGTGACGCGACATCCGTTCGCTGTATCCTGAAGTTCATAGTAAATGAAACACACCTTTTAAAAAAGTTGCGAGTGAAAACACAAACTTTTTTGCCCCAAAAAGTCTATGATGTACGTGTTTCGAAGCGAAGAAGCGATAAGGGCGGTCTCGAGTTCATTTAAAACTGCAGGATACTCGTTCGCCGAGGCCTGTGGCATAAGCTGCATGAGGCACTGGCTCCAAAGTTTCGTCGTTCTCGCAAACCGATTCCTCCAAATCGCTCTCGCCACGTACTTCATTCACAATGCCCCAATCCGTGCATGGTTCCGCAGTTTCGGCATCATCATCGGCCATAATTAAACCATCGCAACAGATGTCCCATCCGCTCTCCCAGGTCGGAGTCGACGACGCGCTGCCAGAACGCCGCCGCAGTTCGGAAGCTTCAGGCTAAGCATCCGACCAGACGTCGACAAAGTCGGCCTCGCGAAAACAGCTTCGTGCGCATGTAGTCGTCACCGCCACCCACGAAATATTCACCATCTCCACAGATGAATACCGGGAAATCCGAAGCGGCAAGTTGGCTGTCAGGGGGTCAACAGCTATGAGCACTATGAGCAAGCGCTCCGCAACGCGGCACCTAACGCGCGAATTACGCTAAAGCTAAGTGGTCACACTTTCGACGTTTTGTGGAGCGGCAGGAAAAAGCGTACTAGTCCTCCCGTCGGCCATCATGACTACACACGCCCACCAAGAGCGAGCAAGATGCGCACACGCGACACACGTGCCAGAACGCGTGGAACAGCTCTGGGCCCGTTTCCAGTCAGAAAACGAAACTAATTTGAGGCAGCGTGGCGGGCGTCGCGGAGCGGTGGAGATGGTCGAAGGGGTTGTGATCAAGAGAGGAGAGCAGACTTGCCAGAGAAGGGCAAGGAGTCGCGATAAAGAGGGGAGGATGCAGCAGGAGGGCGACCTTGAAAACCAACACACACAGGAAGACGGCAGGTTGGGCAGCTTGCTTGAAAAGTCCACGAAACGTGCAACTCACACGGAGAAAAACTTGATAGAGTGCCTGCGCGCGCAGAAATCAAAGCACGGCTGCCTGGATCGGTGCATGCGGCAGTGTTCAAAGAATCGGTGGCCGTGGTCAAAAAATTATTTTGTTGCGCCGGCGGGCTTGCGTGGCCTCACGAATTCCGATATTTCGCGATTCGTTCTGCACAAATTAACAGTCGTTTTCGCGCTTCTGCACGCACGTGGAAGGCATTCTGAGTCGAGTGCAAAGTGAGCAAGAACAAGTTCTAAACACGAAACAAATCGCAAATTATCATAGTCGGTGGGTTGCGAACGCGCGTGCACTAGATGCAGACTATCAGATACAGTCGGTGGCCGACGATGTTGGCAAATGGTCTGGTCACTCTAGGCCGGCGATGCCAACATTAGTACCAGCGATCAAACAGAGGTTAGATGGCCGACTGGTCTTCAAAAGATCGGTGGAAGTGTGAAAACACGGGTCTCGTCTGGTGATGCGGGGTGCTCAGAGTAGCGGGGGGACAAAGGACGGAGGCGTGCGTAACAAAAAGCAGTCGTGGCATTGTCCGTGGGTAGGGGAGAGCGGCAACTAGAGGGTCGCGGAGGCAGGGTCGGCATTTAACAATAAGGATGTATGGGCACCTTGCCGACGCCTGATCGGTGGTCGAAATTGGTTTCCCCGGAAGTCGGCAGACCGCTGACTTCGTTCGCTGTAACCGATCAGCGGCGCTCGGAGACGTTCGTTATAAGTGCGATTTTGTTTCATTGAACCAATGTATATTTTCACGGTCACGCGGGTATCGTTCCTTTTAAGCGAAAAATTGTTTTAAATGGGGCCATTATATGTGGGCTCAACTGTATCAGGTTGCCTGAGGCAGTGCGTGCAGCCAATGTACACCTGAGAGCAGAAGTACACAGGCTCTCCGTATGCCTTCGCTATTGGCGCAGTCTACACTCGGGGCAACTTTCTGTAGCAAATGAAGAGAAGGCTGCAGAACCAAAGTGGCCGTGTGCCACCACTGAAGAATATAGTCCTACAACTGCGTCTTTGTTTTCCGTGAAGATAATGAAAAACATTACTTTATTCTCTACTGGGCACTGTTTGTAAAGAGATGCTGCGCATACCAAAGAGATAATAATATTTTTTTTGCTTCATAAAGTGTCATTTCGCGTTTTTGCACGTTTTAGGTGCACCTCACAGTCGAAAATGGCACAGTCTTTAGGCTATCTGACGCCATCTCTTAAGCATAAAGCGTACTGTAATTTGCACGGAGAGTCTATCAAATACAAGCCAAGCCAAAGTGACAAGCGCGCGTTGCGGCGTATTTCCCGCGTTGTGTCCGTAATGTTGTTACGTTATGAGGCTATACGGAAGCTACGCGGCTGCTTTCAAGTTGTAATTGATTGATCATAAACTCGACAACAGCAACGGGGCTGCCGGAAGGCCCTTCAAAGTCGAGTTCTGTGTTCATTACTGCTGATGGCAGCTGAAAGCCACCCAGACATGTTGGGCCTGTCAGGTGCCTAAGACTGAGATGGATGGTAAACTTTATTTCGTCAGAAGGCAACTGCAGACAATTTTGTGTTAAACGGCCATCAGCCCAATACTGACGTCGTACGCTAACCTTTTGCGGGCTCCTGTTGAGTGACGAGCGCTACCGCAACGCTCACAAGCTTTGCGTACGATATTCTGATTCTCGACTATTTTCTTGCGCCTTTTGTTTCTCAAATAAATCTTGCCTTGTGTTGAACCTGTGCTTTTATTGTTGGGGTAAGTCGTAATTAGTACTCCTCAAAGCTTGCAGTTAGTTGCTGGTGTGAGAATCATGATTTGCGGCCGCTTAGTTTTGTTTTTCACACCGTACGTTTTTGCGGAAAGTTTTCTCGTGTAATTCTCACTCCGACTTTGCATCGGTTTTTCATCCGAAAAAATGTCAGGATTACGCGAGTAAATACGGTATAGGGGTAAGTTGTTTGGTTTCTCCAGCAAATTTCGTGAAAGGAATGCTCAGCGCAGCTATTTCAGCTAAGCAGTGCTGCACAGCAGACTTCTTAGGACTGCACGGCATAGACAGCAATTTTGGCTCGTGCTTCCGTGGTCCCTATATTTTTGCTAATGGGTGGGTATTCCGTCCTGTGTCGCCAGGCACGGTAGATCAGAAGGGGCCTCGTTAGCGATTAGGTGGGATGCTTCATCACCGTCTGCTTTCATAAGTGTGGTTCTACTCTGCGCAGTGCCTGAACCACGGAAGCAACGAGGTCAAGCAGCTGGTGGCCCAGACAGTGCAGTGGCTATCGCGCTGCCTGGACAAAGGAGCACCTCCGCAGCTGCTGCGCACCCTGGTGCCCCAGCTGGTGAATGGAACCAAGGAGAAGAACACCATGGTGCGTGCCAACAGCGAGTACGCACTGGTCGCCCTGCTGCATCTGCGCACCTCCACACAGGGACTGGACGTGAGTGCTTTCACCTGCGTGCACACTCGCAGCACATGAAAACATAATAAAAAGACTACCCAGCCAAGTATAGCTTTTAGTTTATGGCTTTGAAGAAATGCCCAATGTTTCAAGACCCATATCACCAATTTCAAGACCCTTCTTCTAGGGATGATTGTCTGGCTTGCTTTGAATCTAGTGGTTTTTTAGAGATTGTTGCCCTCTCCACCATTCTCCCCTGAGGCACAAATGAGGTTAAACCTCCTTAGAGTCTCAGAAGCAGCGCTCGCATAAGATGACTACATTTTCCCAATCGCAGGAGTGCCTTGCTGCGCTCGACCCAGGGGCGAGGGAGTCCCTGCAGGATGTCTATACCAAAGTGCTGCGCAAGGTGGCCTCCCATCCGGAGCCCAAGGAAGAAGACCTCGATGATGGAATCCTCTCCTGATCTGTTTTTTTGACCCCAACCCTTGACAATGCACAGAATAAACAAAAAATCTGTGTGTGTAAAGTTTACACGTTTGCCTTGTTCTTCTATTGTTCTCGCGTGGCAGTTGCATCACGCTCCATAATCATGGGTCCAGACCAGGAGGAGGGAAAATTCTGTCACCAACAACATCTGTGTGTCATTTGTGGCACCAAGTGCCGTTGGCTTTTGAAGGCTCCACTAATAGAAAGTTTTGCAAATCAGCTTGCGGTAACCCGCAATGTGATGAAGGGTTAAAAAAGGGAGAAAAGACAAGCACCCGTTGTAGCACGAAGCCGCAAGAAAATCTGTATAGATTTCTCAGAAAGAATAGCCTCTCAGTTGCCGAAAAGTTCGTCCTAGTCCGGGGTTCGGACCTGGGACCAACGCCTTTCCGTGGTGGTCTCTCTGCCAAATGAGCTAACCAGGAAGCTAGAACTTTACAGCGCGAAGGCAAATTTATCAACAGCTCGAAGCACATGAACGCAAGTACTAATGCAAATGAGTTCTGCGGGAACCTGCATGGTGGCGGAAGGGTTAAAAAAGGAAATGAAGACGACTGCCCATTGTAGCACGAAGCCAACTAAAAGACTTATTTCTCTGAGAAATCCGTACGGGGTTTCTTGTAGCTTCGTGCTACAGTTGTCTTCTTTTTTTTCTTGGTAGAAATTTTGTGAGCCCACATCGGAGAGCATAAATCGTAGCTAAACCAATACAAAATCTGATTGATTCAGCTCTTGGTTCAAATACTGTGTTAGCTGAAAGTCACAGGGACTGTGAAAATCGTGTAGTTAAGTGGGTTTTCGAATTCGCAAGACACAAAATAGGATGCAAGATTTTTTGAATTATTGAAAGTAATCAAAGATGGTAGTTTTCTGTTCTGGCTAGTTTTCGGCTTCGAGGGTTGTGTTTTCCTGCAATACTCGTTCCCGATTTTGCCGCAAGCAAGGGGGAATGGTGGGGCTCGCGGCTGCCAGCGCAGGCAAGAAAATGTTATCGTGGTCCGCTAAAATGGGCTCCTGCAAAAGAGGCGCTTCACTGAATCACAGTGGTGACACGCGAGCGGTGTGTCGTCTGCTCTTTGCAATGCCAGGGCGTCATGATGAGACCATTGGGCCTTTCTTTACAGTGAAATAAAAAATTGAATAATGGCTGGCTAGACAGAATTCGCTATGTATTTTGGCTGCAAAACATGATCACTGAAGTTTTCGAACTGAGTTTTCGAAGTAGGTGTTGCAGGCAAGATCTCCGCCAGCAGCGCAAGTGCGCTAATTGCTGGAGAGAGTTCCGATCGGACGTGCGCATACATCACGAATTCCGTGAGATTGTTCCTCATTTATTTCTTTATATTCCCAGAAAGAACGGGTAAATCCTGACTCGCTGAGTTTGCAAGAATAGTGTGACATGCTGCCCGCGAGTCATCGCTGGGTTGCAGGAAAGCACGTTTCTTTGCGACGTCACTGCAAAATCACATGATATGCCCAAAACCTTCAAAAAAAGTAGCGGGTTTCAATAAAGTTGGCTGAAAAAATAAAAGCCTCCGCCGACCAGTCATCAAATACATATTAAGGACTGTGCGGCTTTTCAAATGCGAGAGTATATATTGGTGAATGAAATACATGTTGATCATTTCTATCAGTCTCCCTAGCCGCCTATGTCTTGGCGCTCTAGCAGTCGTCTCCTTAGCTTGGTACATGCCAAAAGTGGCATAGGAGGAAGTGGCGTCGGTAGAAATATGACTGGGGGAGAGAAGGTGCCCGTTCTTTATATTTTCCCATGCAGAAAAGTTTTTCGGGGGGGGGGGGGGGGGGATAAAGAGAGGGGGTGAGGGTACACTATATGAAGAGTGGGTGCTCGCGACCACAAGCCTGTCACATTCGACTGCGCTCTTGGTCCTTTAGCCAGCCTCATGCAGTGGAGGAGTGCGATGAAATTTCTGTTAATTTTCCTGGACATACAACACAATAGCGGCCATTAACCAATGGAGCACGGAGCTCTATCTTGGTCTGCAGCAGTATAGCAGAAACACCTATTTCTATGTTTTACTGTCTTTTCATTTCTACCTTGGTATAATAGTTGACTGTCTCTCGAATCTCAAGGTACAAATGATAAATATTGTATAGCATAGAATAATTGCGACTGTATCTTGTATCTGTATACCTCGTATACTTCATATCAGAGTAAGTGTTGCGAAATGGGCGCCTCCGTTTTACTCCGAAGAATTGCAACCTGCTGCAGTTTCATTCCTCGGAATGAAAAAAGATAGCCCATTTTCACTTCGAGAATCACCAGGCAGGTCAATTCCACTCCTACAATTCCTCAACCTAGGAAAGTCATATCTTGATAGCTTTGTCAAGCTAAGAATGGTTGTAACAACATAAAGCTGATGTCATCATATGCATTAATAACTGCAAAAGTATGCAAGACACATTATCTCCGTTGAGGGATAGTAGCTTGGTGACTTATCTCGTGCGGCACAACTGCACTATTAGTTCCCGTAGGGGCAGTTCTCCTGCTACATATAGTATTTGCATAAACAGCAGAAACTGAAAAAAAAGTTAGTAAAGAGTTGGCAACGCATGTAATTACTTGTTTCGAGCGCATTTTGCTACCTTCACGGCATCTCTATACTTTGGCCAGAACCTGGTAAAGCTTGAAAGATTTGCCGTTATGAACCAGGAATGCTTTCTTTGTCTTTTTAACTATACTAGACTCATAATAATTCAAACTCTGTTAATTCACACTTTTGGGTAATTCAAGCGAAATTTAATTTTTTGATTGGCCCTCTATTCTTTCAATGTATTTAACAGCCTCTTGATTCACACTCATAATCTGGGTAATTCATACTTTTTGACGTACCATACCAGAAAATATCTGCTGCTTTTCCACCACTATTTCAAAATTTGCGCGCTTATATAATCCTAACAGTCTAAAAATGACAAATAAGCACCTCAGGCCTTCAAGAAAAAATGCTTTGCTAGTAAACAAATGTTTTAAATGAAGCACATTTATGGTAAACCGTGATATTTTTCAAATAGTATAGAAAGCTGTGTGGTGAAGGCACATATAGCAAAGAAGCATACGGCAATTCACGCTTTCTTCAAAAGGTCTCATCAGCAGTAAATTGCCAATAAACTTGTGGACCTTATACCTCTGCTTTTTGTTCATAAGGTGCAGTTAGGGTTTAAAAATGCTTAAAAAAATTTTAAATGTGATGAAATCAATATGTGACTTTGCCCTGAATCATATATCTGAAAACAATAATTCAAACATTTTGATAATTCAAACAATATTCAGAGTTTTCTCCGAGTTTGAAATAATGAGAGTCTACTGTAGGTTACTACGCTGCATATGTTGCTAGACCTCTAGTAAACACCTTTTTATATCTTGCAGTAATCGTGACACTCTAGAAAAATTTAGACCAACCTTAATTTTGCCCATCGCTATAGAATAAAAATATCGTGTCATGTTATGACACAAATATATACAAACAGAAGAGCCGATGATGATGTGTACAAACATTGGGGATCCCTTAAGCTTCGTTTTTAAGAGTTGAACACGATAGCGAAATCCGGCCCCTAGTGCACCCTAAACCGCTAAGTGCATACTTATTAATATGTTTTGTTACATACACACGCACGCACACAAACACGCACACAGTAGATTCGACCAGCGCGCGCTGTTATCGCCGAATGGGCTCGTTTTCGTCGTGACACCTGTCGAACAAAATGCGTTAAAGGCGCTTTGAAACACTTTTTGAAGTAACCATGGAATGAATTTGCTAGAAGAGGTTATTGTCTCACGAATTCAACGCCGCAAAAATTTTAAGAATCCGTCCAGTGCGAGTGGAGTTACAAAATTGTCGCATGCTGCAATTGCATGATCTCTTCTCTCGTCTTAACGAAAGCGCTAGAAGCTAAGCAAGGAGGGGTGGCAGGGCAAAAAAACTACCGTGCCTCGTGACCTTGAGCACTTTTTTTTTCTTCGAACGCATGGCTTTTGCAGTGTGATCCGTGCGCACAAGTGGACAAGTAGCGGCCTCCCGCGGCTATATCGGTAACTTGATTTTTTGGCGACAGACGCACAGACGATTTTTTTGCTCACAACCAACGGGGCCGGCGGCAGGTTTTCTGCGACACGAGCTCTCTAACGCTATCGCGTTAAAATGAGCATTATGTTTCTTAATTCTATGGCTGCTTACCAGTACACAGTGGGCTATTCTAAAGTAGGAGCATACTCTCTATGCCAGCATACTTAGTTGTTTATATGTTCAAACCGAGCATAAATAGCCTTCAAATGGCTGCTACAGTAGATAACGGCTAAGTCTTGATACTCTATATGTGCGTTTGCGCGCATGTCTTTTTTGGTGATTCGTTTATGTTTCTATGTATGTTGCAGTCCTGCATATTTACCATGTTAATTACATGAAGTAGTTAGTGAACACTAATTATTCTACATGGACAATAGCACTTCGGGTATTATCCTTTGTATACTTCTGTAATATAATTATCTTGATGGGGCAATGTGTATGCACATATAGGCATGGGTTAACTAACATTCAGTAATGTTACTAATTATTCGAGTCAGTGCACTATTCACGAACTACTTAGCAAACTAGCAAGTTTCACTCATGGGGATTTTACTACCTTCACTTACTATGAGGCTAGTGATTTTTGTGACAAGTAAACAGTTAGTATTTAGTTAGTGAATAAGTCGACCTTTGTTTTCTAAGAGTGCATGTCTGAAAGTATGGTGATGTATTATTACATTTTGTCCAAGCTTTAATGCGCTAGTGCTGAATTGACGACTAAGGAAAACGATGTGTATTGATTCGGGGAGGCGCCGCCTTGGTTGCGTGTGATCGCCTGCTTCTGCTAACTACTCGAAGCATTGCTTTTAAAAGTCTATTATATCTCTCTATGTACGGTTCAGCCTGTACAACAATTCGTCGCACACACAGTTCACACAGGACACAGTTCATTGTGTACGAATGTGTGTTGCACTGACCTACAGACCTTTGCTATAGATTTTCAAGAAAAGGGGCCCATGT